TTTTTTTTTTTTTTATTGTAAAATGTAATATCTTGTTGTTGCCTACATAAGCTCAATTAACATATAAAAGAAAAAGCTAAAAAATAAAATTATGAAAAACAAATGTATACTTTTTTTATTTTCGAATATAAGAGAAATAAAAAGTAATATTTAAAAAAGTTATATTAATTTCCACATATATAAATATTTAATCAATAAAAATAAAAAAAAAAAAATGGTGTATTTAATTAATTTAATTAAAAAAAAAAAAAAAGAGTGTTATGAAAGGGAATCCACATTTAAATGTGTATTTTTTTAACTAAAAAACATTAACATTAATTTTCCTTTTTTATGCTTTCTATAGTGGAGGCGTTATCATCTTCATTGTCACTTCTTATATCTGTAATTTTTTCATTTTTCACTTCAATCGAAAAAAAAAAGTGTATAAAAGTTAAGAGATATAAATATTTATTCTACTTTTTTTTTTTTTTATTTTTTTATAATTTTATATTATTACCTGTTTTAACTATAAAAACACGACTCATCCTTAAGATTAAGTAAAACCAGTAACAATGCATAAACTGAAAAAAAAAAAAAAAAAATTCCGAAAACGAAAAAAAAAAAAAAAAGATGAAAAAGGAAATAGAAAAAAAATAAAACTTTGAAAATATTCATGTTATTATAATACCATTAATGCCCATAAAAAAACAATTAAAACTACACCACCTGGAACATCAAAATGTGATGATATAAAACCATCAGTATAAGTTTTAATTATTTTCATATTACTCAAAGGAAGGACAATATAATAAAAATATAAAAATATACGAAAAAAAAAATAAGATAAGACAAATAATATATAAAATAAAGGAAGAAGTATTCTACTTTTTAAATTTGAGTAATTTAACAACTTTGAAGAATAAAGAGTTATATCAACTATATCATGAATTAGGAGAATTAGTAATCCAACTCTCCAAAAATTAAGTACATGAGAATATATTAACAAAATGATGGTAGAAATGTGATGTAAAACAAAAATATAAAAATCTTTTCTTTTTATTTCATAATTTAAATAAAAAAGACAAGATGACCAGTAAGATATTTGCAAAATATAAAAATAGTATACATAATTATTTGTATACATAAATGGCCATCCTCTTTTATTTTCACGAAATTCTTCTTCTGTTACTAAAAAAAACCATTTTCCTGTTGGTTCTTTTATCATCATTTTTATCCACCCATTTTTATTATCAAAGTATCCAGACATATATAACAATAAAATAAAATTATATGAAAAAGAAAAAATATGCCATATTACAAACCAAAAATTTTCTTTCCATTTATATAATTGACCTTCTTTAGCAACATTCCACTTTTTATTTATTTTATCTAATAATGAATTCTTTGCTAGTTTATATAGGATATTATCATTTCTTACCATCACCTTATTAACTCCTGAAAATAAAAATCTTAATATAGTTATAAAAACAAACATCAATAAACAAATTACAAAATCCCATTTTGATAACTTCGGGTTAATTAAGTAAGCCTCAATATAACCCTTGTTTTGGGAACTCAAAAAATATTCTTTTAAAGTGTGTAAATAAAGAGTAGTCATTGAAAGAAAAAAATAATTTATAATACAAACTACTTTAAATCAAACACAAAAAAAAAAAAAATTTAAGTAAAATTATATTTATAAATTTATTAAGAAAGAACAAAGATTAAAAAAATATTTTTTATATTTATTTATTTGTTGCTATTTTTGTTCTAAACATATGCATTAGAACATTAATATATAACATACTTTTAATAAATATATTTTTAATAGTAAAATGAGGATACAGTAATAAAATATAATAAAAATAAAATATAATTACGAAAAAAAAAAAAGCTATTATAAAAAAGGAAAATAATATGTGGATACATATCAAAATAAAATTTAATTAATCAAAATACCAAAAGAGAAATAATGTATAATAAGAAGATATAAAAATAAAATTATATAAATTGATATAAAAAAAGAAAAAAAGAAAAAATAATATTTTGTTAAAAAAAAATAAATATATTTAACAAAATAAAAAAATAATATATATAAAAAAAGAGTTACAATAATAATAATTTAATTATATGAATTGAAGTGGTTTTTGATCATGCAAAATTAAAAGATCTTAATTTAAAAGGAATATAAAACTAAACAATTTTTGTAATTATTTTTTTTTTTTTTTTTTTTTTTTTTTTTTAAATCCTACATTCTTGTTATACTAAAAAAAAAAAAAAAAATGTCAGTAATGAAAGTGTAATATTTAAATAATAAGGAATACACATTCATTTTTAAGTAATAGAATGTACTAACTGTAAAAATTCAGTACTTTTAGTATTTTTAATTCTTAATACAATCTAAATCTTTATTTTTATATAAAATAGTTTTTAAAATACTAAGTTACACTTTTTGAATAATTTATAAGACAATATAAATTAAAAATGGAAAAAAAGGTTTTAAAGAAATTTTTTTTTTATTTATTATTCTTTTTTGTCTCAACTTTATTTCTCTAAGGATTAAAAAAAAAGGGAACTATAAAATTCCATCTTTTTTAATAGTAGTTATTTAATAGCAAAATATATAATCATATAAATTAATAAACTAAAATATTCAATATACTTAAAAATAATTGAAATAATAAGAAGAATACAATAAATAGGTAGTCCAAAAAAAATTGTAGTAATAGGTCTTATATGATATTTAAAATATATATATATATATAAGCCTATAGTTAATGAAAATTAGTATCTAAAAAAAAATATATTAAAAGTATTAAGAATAATAACTTATAAAATTTTAAGGTAATATTAAGGTAATAAAATAAAATAGTTTTAAAATGTTTTTTGACGAAGAAAAAAGAAAAAAAAAGAGAATAAGAAATTTATTATATATAGTTAAAGCAAAAATATTAATAATGTTAAAACAAAAATCAAAATAATTCTATTAATCTGATAATTCAAATTCTACTTCACAAATATTTTCCAAACTTTCCTTTTTAATAAATTTCTTTTTTTCGTGTTCTAAACTTTTCCTTTTTATTTTACACGCATAATCAACTGTATTTGTAAGTGATTTCCTTTTTTTAGTTTCGTTATTTATTGGTTTTAAGGAATTATTCTTCTCTTTATCCTCATAGTATTTTTTCTTGCTATTATCATCAGTAATATTATCATCCATATAGCTGTAAAAGTTATTATTTAAATTATTTTTTATATTTAAAACAGGTTTTTCAACCTTTGATGAAAAAAAATCCGATGATAAAAAGCAATCATCAGTATTTTTTAATAATGCACTTTTCCTGTTTACTTTAATTTCATTTTTTTTTTTTATAACATGAATATATTTGTTGTATGATTCAAAAAAAAGTGCAATATTTATAAATAAATCGTTAGAATACTTTATTTTTCTATTTTCATCTATATGACTAAAAAGAGGATAAAAAGGTTTGATGTCTCCTAGCCATATGATAAGTACTAAATATTGCTTTATTAGAAGAACTATATTCCATATAATAAATAGCATTTTTTTATAATTTTTTTCTACAAACAGTTTAATCTTTTCTAAAAATTTATCTTCAGAAAAAATACTCTCTTCATCTATTCTAATACAACAATTTTTTTTAAATTCTTCAGTATTCATTTGATTTTTTAATTCTAAATAAGAATTAATAAAGTCAATAGATTTGTCATAGAGGTCTTTTATGTGGAACTTGCTTACTTTTTTGAGGTTATTCAATTCTTTTTCAGTAAATATTTCACCAGTATGTTCGGCTAAAAGAAGCATTATACATCTATCTCTTGATATCTTCCCATTGTCTGAATATCCATAAAGTTTTTCTAATTTTTTTACCACACTATTCCATTGGAACCATTTATATATTTTCGGTTCGTTTAACCAATTACACAAGTATAAAATATTGCAAAATAATTGTTTTAATAAAACATGCTTATTTACTATTAGTTCAATACTATTCAATTTATTTTTTATATGTTTTAAAAGATCTTCATATATAAAATCAAAATTATCTACAAGTAATAAATATCTGAGTCTTCTATGAACGTTGCTTATAGTGCAAATAAATAGGCAAAATTCTTCATCTTCATAAATATTAGAATCCTCTACCATATATTTTTTTTTTGAATAAGTAGAAGTAGTATTTGTTGAAGAAAAAGAATTATTTAAACAGTTATCATAATGATTTATCCCTTTCATAAAATCATATGTTTTTAAATTCAAATTTTCATATTTATTTTTTTCATTTAATACACAAGTATCATCATTATCATCATCATCATCATAATCATCATTATTACCATCTGAATCTTCTTTTTTTACTTCTAAAAATTTTTTAATAATCTCATTTTTCATTCCTCCTACATGTATGTATAATTTATTTATTGTTTCTTTCCATAACGTATAATTTTTACTACTTTCTTCAGGTAATGTGTGTAGGATTTTTTCTAGAGAGGCAGAATCGCATGTACATAATATTAAGGATGTAATAATTTTTTTTAAACTGTTATATGCACTTTGCCTTTTTAAAGAACTTAACATTATAATTAATGGTTGACAAAAAAAACCCATTGTACTTATTCTCCTTTTATTATTTTTAAATAACAATAATTGTGATGAATTAGATTCCATCAAATTTTTCTTATCATTTTTCTCTCTTTTTTTTTTTGTAAACCATATTTCAAGCTTTTCATCACTTACTAAGGATTTTGATGGATGAATAGATGTATTTATATATTGAAATATGGAAATTCCTATAGACTTTGTTATTTCGCTTTTTATTTGATTAGACGACTTAAAAAGAACTTGATTTTTTTCATTCATTCCTTCTTTATCATCTAAGTTACAAAAAGATAATGTTTTTTTCTCTTTTTCCATTAAATCATTATATATAAATATATCCTTTATATGCTCTCCAGATTCAATATAACTTTCTTCTATTTTTTTATAATTGTGTATGCCTTCATTCATAGCTTTATCTAAGTCTATTGTATCAAGTGTTATATATTCAAAGTTAAAATTCATTTCTATATGTAAATTAGCTCTGTTGTTATTTATAACTTTTACTTCTTTATCAAATGGCAATAATAAATTTTTTCTAAGAGATGATGGAAAGGGATGCCCTTTAGAGATTGGTTGTTTATTATTAATATTTTTTATTAACAAGTTATCATTTTCATCAGAATTGTGTAATTTATTTTTAATTTCTTCATTAATGTTTAAAATAATGTTTTTAAAATTTACTGGCATCTTGTTATTAAACTTTTTTATGTTATCAATTTGGTCATTTTTATCTATGTTAGTTTCTGTATTGGTCGCATTTTCATTAATAACATTAACTTTATCTTTACTATCTTCCTTTTCTATATTAAAATTAGTACCTTTTTCATTTTTCAAAATCAAATTATTATTATTCATTACATCATTGTTTGAAGTAATATTTTCAGTATTAATAATACTGTTATGGCTATTATTATTCTCTAATATATTAAAAGAATTTGGTATTTTATGTGATTCCTTTTCTCTTTCGTTATTTGATGTGTGGTTACTTTCTTCTTTCTGACAGTAATGTTTGGGTTTGCTTCTAATATCTGCCTTTTTTGTATCTTCAAAACTTTCTTTAGAATCATTATCATTATTAAGTAAATAATTGTTTTCATCTTCATTTCTATCAACAGAAAATTTTATTAAATTTTTCCTATTTTTATTATCATTATATTCAAGTAATTCTTTTTTAATATTTATATGTTCTAACCTATTTGTTTGTGTTTTATCTTCACATGTTAAATATTTTTCCTTATTATTTAAATTGTAAATGGAACAATTACTTTGATAATTTAATACTTCACATGTTTTTTCTTCATTTACATTTTCTTCATTTTGTAATTCATTATGCAAATTGTCTACTGCTATCTTTTCTTTTTCTACATGGAAACATATATCTAATGAATTATTTTTTTTTTCATTAGATGGATGTTCTTCCTTTAAATAACAATCTGCTTTTTTACTTTTTTCTTCATTTGTAGACATTGATTTATGTAAGTCTTCAATATTTTTTAATGCAACAATATTGCATGAATTTACTTCTGTTTCAGAATTTTTATTCATGTGATCATTTTCTATTAAATCTTCTATATTTTTCAATTCTAATGGGATATGCGAATAAATACCTCCTGAATTTTTTGTGGAGAATTCGCAATATCTTCCCTTATTAATTTCTATATTTGTTTGTTCCCCAGTAGAAATATTTTTAATTTCTTTTTTATTTTTATCATTTAAACCAATGTTGTCTAGTGATATATCTTCATTTGAATTTTTGTTATTATTTTCACCAATTCTATATTTCATATTTATACTACCATCTTTATTTTCGGTCAAATTTTCTTTATATTCCTTTTTTTTATTATTTATGTTGGTATTGCTTCTGTAAATACTTTTGGTTATTGGATTTTTATTTACATAAAAACTATGATTTGAAATATTAGTAGTATTTAATTTTCTCATATATATACTATTTTGTAAATTATTTGATTTGTTTATATTCATTTTCTTATTAACAACATATTCACTGTTTTTATTTTTATTTATTAGAGTATTTTTAACTGTTGAAGAAGATTTTTCATTTATATTTATATTTTTGTTATATAAATTTTTAGAATCAGTACAAATATTTTTATTTAATTTGGATGGGTGTCTACTATTAGAAACAAATATACTTCTGTTAAGATCACTTTTTAAAATTTTTTGGTTTAATGTATTTTGATACACACTTTTATTTATCATATTCACCTTTTTATTATTATTTATTTTAGAATATTTATCTATATATATACTTTTATTCATGGAGGATAAAGTTGTTATATGTGAGTTTTTTATATTACTATGTTTTAAATATGTGCTCTGATTATATAATGGCTTTCTTTTTAATTCATAGTTATATACGGACTTTAATGAGTTATTAATGTCTTCTCTGTTTATTCTATCACTATTTATTTTGTTCTTTTCTTTTTCAAAATACTTAATACATCCTTCTGAATCTTCCTTATATGCACTGAAATCTAAAGCACCTAAATTTATATAATCAGATTTATTTTTTTCGTTTATACCATCATTCAAAAATGACGCTATACATTTATCATCTTTTTTTTTATCTTCAATATTTATTTCATTTTTATTAGCTACATCTTTTTCTTTTAAGATATTTGTTGTATTTTTATATGGTATAATATCAATAGATATTTTATTATTAATTAGGTTATTTTTAAATTTTTTTCTTAATAATATTTCCTCTTCAAAAATATATTCACATTGTCTTTTTTTTTTGTAGGTATCAAACAAATCTTTATCTTTATTATCATAAAAGTTTTTTTTAATTATTATTTCATAAAAGTTTATAAGCTCAAGAGATTTCAAATATGCATATCTATATTTATTCAATAAATATAAAAGCTTTTCATTTATTTTTTTAAATCTTTTATTTTCCTGAAAAAATAATAATAGTATTAAAAATATAAAGAAAAAAAAAGCAAAAATACCTTTAGTTTACATATATTTTGTTCTATATTTTAATATTAACATATTAATATATTTTTTTTTTATATTTTACATTCTCTAATAAAGTATTGATAGCCATGAGGAATTAATGTATTTAATGAAAGTTCTCTTTATTTATGAATATTATTGTTTGCAAAGGTATTAAAAAAAATAATAAATAAATAAATAAATAAGCATACAAGCAAAATATAAATAACTTAATTTGAGCACACACAGGAATTTATGTATCTAAATATATATGTCTATTTTTTTTTTTATTTTTTTTTCATTCAGTCCTAGTTGATTTATCATTGTATAAATGAATAAAAAACTATATTATTTGCGTTATATATTTTAAATTTCCATAGTTTGTATATTTTTCTTATAATTCTTTTTCTATAATATTAAAAAGAAAAAATTTAAAAGATATCATTATTTTATATTTGTTAAAAATAATGCAAAGCACACACAAAATGTTCAATTGGTATTTAAAAAAAAAAAAAAAAAAAAAAAAAAAAAAGATTTTCTCAAGCTCATATATTAATATACAATTTTTTTCTTTAAAAATATTACTTTTTAATCAATTTTATTTAAAATATATTTTATATATAAAAAGAATATAATAATATTAATCCTATTTAAAAATATTAGAAATCAATTTATAAATATATATATATAGATGCTCATTTACTTAATAATAAATATATATTAAATTAAATGATGAAATAAAATTGAAAAACAAAAATGAATTTAAACTATATTAAAAAATATATTTATATTATAAAAAGATACAAACAAAAAAATATATATATTTATATATATATATATACATAATAAAGTTAAAATAAAAAATAAATTTTAAATATTGTATCAATTAGATATCATATTTGGAATATAATCAAAAGGATAATATTTGTAATCAACATTCTTTTCATTAACTTGTACGATAAGAATTCCTGATTTATCATCTCTCACTTGCATACCAACAGCAGAAATGACTATTTGTTTTATATTTGAATCAATATTACCTTCTTTATTAAAATGTAAGTGAGCACAAAAAATATGATTGACATTATATTTTTTCATTAACTCATAGATAATTAATCTTGTTTCTTTTTTTATATGAAAACGATTTTTATCTACATACAATCGGATTTTATCCACATAAATTAATCCAATATTTTCATCTTCGTCTATATTATCATACATAAGTGGATGATGCATAAATATAAATTTATACTTAAGATTTAATGATTGCATTTTTTTTAATGTTTCTTCTAACCATTCTAATTGTTTGTCTCTTAGACTTTTAACATATGTATCATCATATAAAATGGATGAATTTAAAATTATAAAGCCACAATTATTGTAAATAAAACTATAATATCCATCTCCCCACACATCTTCATATTTCTTAATAGTTTCACAAGTTGGTGAATTACCTACATCGTGATTTCCACAAAATACATATAAATCAATAGATTTGTTTAATAGTTTAAAATCTTCTTTAAGATCATTATATTGTTCATTTTGTGCTTCAGTTGAAGGATTTGCATTGGATAAATCACCCATTGCTATTACAAATGGTGGTTTTAATTTATTTGTTTTTTCTATAGCTTTTTTTAATAAAATCCTTTCTTCAAACCATCCAATGTCTGATCTTAACATTCCATATTGAATGTCACCATATAAAATAAAATAAAATGGAGAAAAAGAATTTTCATTAATACTTTTTCCTTGATTATTTTGAACTTTTATTAAAACCATTTTGTCTTATTTTTCAAAAAATAAAAATACGGAAAATGTAGGTATTTATATATATAAGAGATTCGTGTATAAATAAATAAAAATTAAAAAAAAATGAGAAAATTTTTTTTTTTTTTTTTTTTTTTTAAATATATGTTGTCATCAATTTCTTGAAAAAAAAAAAAAATAAAAAAATGTTTCTTTTTTTTTTTTTATCAAAATATATATTTTTGATAAAGCTTAAATTTTTTCAAGATACTAAAAAATATATTTGTATTAAAATATTTATATATAAAAATGAGATAATATGTTAAAATACAAAATGTAGTTTTAAAAAGATAACTGAAAAAAAGTTTTTAGCATTTAATTAATGTATCAGTTTTTTTTTATCATGCATTTTGAAAAAGAAACTTAATTTTTAATTCAAAAAAAAAAAAAAAAAAAAAACCTATATAAGCATCTTTAACTTTCTAACACTTACACATAAATAGGTATGTTATATTAATTTTTTTTTCTATAAAAATTAATAGAATATTATAAATTAAAATTAGTTTGATTTTTATAAATATTCTGTTTTATATGAAAACCACCTTTTTTTTTTAAATTTTATTTTTCTTTTTAAATTAAAAAAAAAAATTAAAATAAAGAAGAAATGAGATAAAAATTATTAAATAATATTTATTCCATGCATTTATGAAAATAATAATATAAAGGGAAAAATTAAAAGAAAAAAATAAATATAAATGGAAATATAGGTAAAAAGTGTAGTGTAAAAATAAGGAAAAAAAAATATATTTTTTTTTAATTTTTTTATTTTATGTATTCTTTATAAGTAGAGAAAATTATTATTTTCGGAAGAAATTAAGACTTTTTTTTTTTTTTAATAAACTTTTATAAACAAAATGAAAGTTTTAGGTAAAGATGAACTAATAACGAAATTTGAAACTTTCGTAGTAATAAAAAAGGAATTAGAGTATTCTAAAAATATAGATAAACATTTATACCATAATTTTTGCTTAAAAAGGGATGATGCATTTAAAGATATTTATGAAAAATACTTTATGAAATTGATTTCAGATAAAATTTTGTACAAAAGTGTTCAAAAATATATTGTTAATACATGCCCACATCTAGTTCCGAAAGAATTATATAATGAGGATTATAATAATTCTAGAGAACTAATTAGTAATATTTCTGATAAGATTGTTAATTTTATTAAAGAAATAGATATATATAATTTTGATAGCAAAGAAAAAATTCAAATTATTGACATTAATTGTGAAAAATTTGTTGATCTCTACGTAATTATGAACTACGGAGAAAAAAAGTAACTCTTACAAAAATTTTATTTTTAGCATACTATACATATATTATGTGAACATTTTCATAATTTATATTTTAGTATATATAATAATATACATAAGAACAATATTTTATCTTAATTATATTTCATGTTTTTATTTTTATATATTATTTTAATAAAAATATTTCACACATTTTTTGTTATTTTTATTTTAAAAAATTTTTATTTTATAGTTAAATGACGTAATATCATAAATTTTATACACATTTTTTTTTTTTATTTTTTTCATAGATGTGAAGAAAACAAAATTGAACATATATTAAAGTTATTAAGAAATTTGCATATTACAAATTTAATTTCAATTGAACAATAATTTCTAGACATATATATATAAAAGCCAAACAAGTTTTATAAAATCATAAAAAACATAACATGAATTTTAAATTACACAATATATATTTTAATAAAATTTAATTTATTGTTATTTAATTTAAATTGTAGTATAATAGTATTACTTAAATATACTTTATATTATCTCAATGTGAATAAATAGATTTTGTTTAAGAAAATTTTAAATTGATAGAATAATATTAGTAATGGACAAACATAAATCATAATAATATAAAAATGTAATGTATTCATCATTATTGGATAAGTGGAGCAAATAATTCTCTTAATATATATTTTTACATATATTATATCAGTTAAATATTTTACGTACATATTTTTCATATAATTCATTTTATATAAGATATTGTTATATATTATTAGAAAAATCTTAAGATTACTTTAAAAATAATAATTTAATATGTCCTATCAAAAATCCTGCAACAATTATATTTATTAGAAGAATTATTATAATTTTCTTTATTATTACAATATGGTTTGAATATTTTTTTTATTTCTAAAAAATATTTTAAATACAATTGGATGTTTTGAATATAAGAGCCTATCAACTTTGATTATGTTTTTTAACCATCATATATAAAATATTAAAGTATTTTTGAAGTATGTATACAAATATATATTCAAGTTATAATAGTATTAGAAAAATAATATGTATCCTAAGAGAAATTGATTTACTATATATAAGTGAAAATTTATTTTAAAAAAAAATATTTTGTTTTCAATTTTATTGTTTCTATTTTTTTTTAAATGTTACTTTGGGGTATATATGTATGTTATGAATTATATAAAATTAAAAGAAATTATTAATTTTTGTTTTAATTAAAAATTTTATATTTTAAAATATATTTAATAAAATTATATCAATAAAAAGTTCAAAAACATATGTTACTATTTCATATATAAAAGAAATAAAGTACAAGACACTCATATATTAAAAATAAAGAGATATAATGCTATTTTAAAATAAGATAGTAATATAACAAAGAGACATAAATTTCAAATTAACAAGACATTTTTCAAAATTTAAATGTAGAGAAAATTTTTTTTTTTTAAATAAATGAAAGTAAAAAAAAAAAAAATATAGGTAATATAAATTAAAAATTTATTACTTTTTTTAAATAACTTTAATAGCTACATTAAACAGTCAGTAATATACTAGAATACGGAAATATAAAAAAATATATCTTAAAATTTTTTTTTATAAAATACCTACGAAGACAATTTTTAAATATTATAAATAATGAGTTTTACTTATTTTGCGAATAGAAGATTTGTTGATAAACCTTCGAAATGTAATAATCTAAATTTTAAAAAATTATTTGTCTACATTTCATAAATTAATAACATGAAAGTTTTATAAAATTCACATTTTTTTTTTTTTTTTTTTTTTTGAATAAGTAACGAAAGTTACACTATAAGAATACCTTTAATGTATATTATTATTAAAGGTATAGAAAAAATTAAAAAAAATTATAACTTTATTTCAATTTATTACAAATAAACTTTACAATCTTATATATAAAGTAATATTATATTTTTATTAAAATATATTCTCTACTTCTAAAAAGAAATAAAAATGTTTATAATAATTGTTATCAAATATATAAGTTATTAAATTTATATTTATAAAAAAAATGTATTTGTTAAAAAGAATAAAATAATTTAAAATATATATTTTAAAAATTGAAACTTCAAGAAAAATATTTTTTTTTATTTATTTTTTACAAAGCATAAGTTCTATTTATATTTCATATATATATATATATATATATATAATTTTTTTTAAATAATTATTTAAAGATATTTATTTATAGTAAAATTTTTTTTCATTTTTGTGTTTATTTCTTTATTATTTAAAAAGAATATTAAAGGATATTTCTTTTTAAACTTTTTAATAAGATATATAACGGAATATATTAAGGGTTTTCTTACATATTATATGATATTTAAAAATATTTTAAAATAGCACTACACAGTATACTTTTTTTTTTTTTTTTTTTTTTTTTTGTTTAGGTCTACTTTGTAAATTATTCATATTTAATAACCCATTATATTGTTTCTTTTGTATAATTTCATATAATATTAATAAAAAAAAAAAAAAAAAAAAAAAAGCATTAAAATGAAAAATTCTTTTCCATCTTTGCTTAATACATTGTTATTACGTGAATTTTATTTTATTCTGATGAAGCCTTCTTGAGGTATTCAACTAAGTCTGCTCTTTCTTTTTCTTTTTTTATACCAGCAAAAACCATCTTAGTTCCAGGAATGTATAATTTGGGGTTAAGTAAATATTCAAATAAATGCTTATCAGACCAAATAATACCTGAATTTTTATTTGCATCGGAATATGGAAAATCAGATTCTCCTGATTTTCGACCATAAAACCCGTGTAAATTGGGACCTTGTTTAACAGCTCCCCCTTTTGCACACAAAAAAAAAAAAAAAATATACATATATTTATATATATAAGTTCACATATATGCATAATTGTATATGTAAAAAAAAAAGAACATAATTATATATATATAAAAAATAAGTATATTTCATATAACATTGAAAAAAATTAAATAATTGTTACAAAAAAAAAAAAAAAAAAAAAAAGCAAATGCTATTTTAATTTAAATAAGGGAATAATAAACATCTACATTTCCTCAAAAAAATATATATAATGTCTTTTATCTACCTTTATTTATTGTATGACATTGAGCACATTTCGCTTTAAAAATTTTTGCTCCTTTTTTATAATCACCAGCGGGAACTTCAACTTGTGGTTCACTTCTTATTTGCGACATTATTTTTTAAATAAGAAATATTAAGTTTATATTTTTATTTCACAAATATATTTTTAAATAATATTATTTTAAATATAAATTAAATTAAAATAAAAAAACAATTTGAAAAAAAATTAAAAATTGAATTAAATACAAAAATAGATTGATATAAAATAAAGAAATACTTTATTACTTGACAACAAAAGTTATTTGTTATATTAAAATTTTTATTGTTTTATTAATTTAAAAAATCGTGTTAATTAAATAAATGAAATTCAAATTAATTTTTTTTTACAAATTTTATTAAATTAGTTTGAATTATTGCTCATTTTTTTTTTTTTCATTATTTAATAAATAAAATTATGTAAAAATCTTAACCTTTAAAATTTTCAAATTTTATTTTAATTTTAATATTAAATTTAAAATAATTATTTTTAAAGAAAAATTAATTAAATAATGATTTTATTCTAAAAAGAAAAAAAAAAATTTTAAGATTCAGATTAAAATTTTAAATATTAAAACACGTAAAGTTTTTGAGATATTTTAAATTTTATAATTTTAAAGATATTTTTTTAAATGTAATTGTTTGAGCATATTTTATTGTTCTATATCATAGTTATTATGTTCTCATATATTAAGATAAAAACAAAATACTTCATTATGAATAAAATTTTATTACCATTATAAAAAGAGATATGAATTTTTATAAATATTTTCAGATAGTAAATTAATAAAAAACGAGAAATGAAAATAATAAGTAAAAAAAAAAAAAAAAGCATTCTTTAATTAATATGAAAATATTTATATTTTTTGCATTCATAAATTCATTTTACTATTTAGCATCCAAAAAATGGGAAATTGTATGAAAATAGTTATATTTCATTTAATCACCTTATATTAAGAAACATTTTTAGATACTTAATTTTTTGGATAAAAAAAAAAAAAGTATTATAGAAATGTAAATAAAAGTACTAACCTTCAAAATTAATACTAATATTTTATAATTAAAAAATTCTAAAGTAAAAAAGAAAATAATGATATTAAAATATGAAGGTAAAAAAACTTCCATATAAGGAAATTTTTTTATTTAGAGCAAAAAATTAAAAAGTAAAATATTTTTTTTATATATATTACATTAGTTATTATAATAAATTCTACTCATTAGGAATGTTTTACAAATATTTATGTAAGGATAAAAAGCATAATGTGAATTTTTATAACATAATATTTTATTTTAATTATTTTTATTTTTTTTTTTTTTTGATATTCGTTTAAAGAGGCTTGTTAAAAATTACAAAAAAAGGCTTTTTCTTAAGATATTATAAACACGCTTTATCATTATGTAATTTCATAATTGTATAAAAGCTATTTCGAACTAATGCTACTGATTCTTATTTGGAAAAAAAAAAAAAAAAAGTGTATGTTTATTTTCCATAAGTTCACCACTCATATAAACTTCATATAATTTTTATATACATAAAAAGCATAAATGGAAAATATTTTTAAAGAAGATATACATACATCTTAACACTATTTTTAGTAAAAAAGATAGGATGATATTTCATTCATGAAATTTGTTAGTTTTATCGAGCTAAAAATATAATTCGTCAAATTTTTTTGCACAATTAAAAATATTATAACAAATGTAGCAAGATCTATTTTCCACATATTACTGATAATTTCCCTTAATAAAAATTATATATTTTTTTTTCATTTAATTTCTTTACTTTAGTATTTGTAGCATTTTTATTCTATCAAATGTATGACAATACATAAAATTAACGCAAAGTATTATCTCCTATTTTATGTTTAAGAATTATTAAAAAAAGCTCAAAATATGAAAAAAAAAAATATTGTACATACGTCTTTTCTTAATTTATGTACGTACGTATTAAAATTATAAAAAACAATAATGATTATAATTATAAAATTCAATATTTTTTTTAAAGAAACCTTTAATTGATATATTTACATCATTTTTAGTTTTATAATTCCAGACGTAAATAAAAATTTATAAGTTTTTCTTAATTTTTTTTTTTTTTCTATTGAAAAAATAAAAAAATATGTAAATTTTATTAATATCATTAAATTGACAATATTATAAAAATATATGCAGAAAAAAAAAAAAAAAAAATTAAATATAGAGTTTATAAAAGTAAAAGTTAAATAGAAAAAATGGAAAATAATTCAAAAAAAAAAAATGAAACAATAGAAGAATTAAATGAAGCAGTTACTGTAAAATGTGAAGAAAAAAATGATAATAATGACTTAATAAACTCAAATGAATTAAATGAAAAAAATAATGACAGCTTCACTGACCAAAATACGAGTGTGTTGATATCAAATGAAAATGAAAAAAAATTTATGAGAGATTCATCTAATTTAAGTTTTGATAAAAACTTATTTTCGGCACCAAAAGTAAATAAAATAATATTATATATATATATTTTATAATGTAAAAAAATACATGATAAATTCTTTTTTCTTTTTAGTATCATCCACATTTTCTACTAAAAAATTACACTGTTCAATATATGGAGCCTGTAATAAAAAAAGCTAAAGAAAAGACATTTTTGTGTTGTTGTTGAAACAATTAAAAGAACAAATAGATTATGAAAAACTTGTAAAAGTATTAATAAATCAAAATAATAAAAACTTTAGTTAGAAGTAATAAAAGTTAGAAAATATACATATATATATTAAATAATATATATATTATCTAAAAAAAAAAATTATATAAAAAATTAAAAGATTTGAAAACTTGTTATTATTTTTCATGTATTATATTTTTATAATTAATCATATTAAAGAAAATTTTATAAATATATATACTAAGCAAGAAAAAGTTTAAATTCTTAATTTATTCAGTATTTTCATTAATAAACTGAAAAAGCAATATTTGCAATATATATTATTATTACTTTTTTCTCTTTTTTATAATGAGAGATTATGAGAACATTTTTGCTTTTCTTTTTTTTTTTTTTTATGCTATATATTTATTAAAAAGAACGATGTTATATATATATCACATATAAACGAGTCATAAAATTAATTAAAATGAACTAAAAATTATAAAAATTTTTGATAGCAAGGATAAAGTTAAACATTAAAATACATAAAAGTACTATTTTTTATTTACATATTTCTTCTTAGCATGATTTAAAATTTTTACCTTAAAAGAAGTTTTTACGTAAATCAAAAGTTGTGTATCCTTTTATACTTTTGTCATATATTAAAATTATTTTATAATTCATATAATACATAATTATATATTAAAAAGAAAATATCAATGAATTCAACAAAAGAAGACAACTAATTAAGAGTTACTTTGATTTTTTTAAATGCAAGAAATTAAAATTTTATCAATATATTATAATTGAACGTAAGTATATTAAGAAATTTTTTATTACATAAAAGATATTTAAATTAAAGTCATGTCTTCTTATGTTGTTAATACTTTTATTATTTTTTCATTTTTATGCATATTATAGTTTATTATTATTTTTATAAAAAAAAAGCTATAACAATAATTTGTAGTTCAAATTATTAAATACTTCCAAAATGTTATGGAACGTAAATCTTTTTATAATCATTGAAGTTCTTAAAATAATGTATCATCTCAATGAAGCAATCTATACGTTTATTGAAAACATACTAGGAGAATAAATACTAATGTGTATATTAATCAGAGTATTATATAAATGCAATGTCACAAATAACTTTTTATATAGCAAGCTATATCTAAAAAAAAGATGGCGAAAAAAAAAAAATTAAATTGCCAAATGTATTATAGACTAGAATTTTTAATTTGTAAACATATTATACTCAATAAAAATTTATGGACAAATCAGTTCTATTATAAAGCTACATAATTTTTGCTTATATCTATTTACAAGTCTAAAGTTTTCATAAGGTTCTATATGAATTTGTAATGTATATGAAAAATTACTTTAATTATTTTTCTTTTTTAAAGATAATTTATTTAAAAATTTATAAAAAAAAAAACATAAAATGTCTAACATTTATGGCTATATAAGTTTTCTGAATTTAAAAAAAAAAGAAAATCAGCTTTTTTTAAGGAAAAAAAAAAAAATAGCTTTTTTCTTAAAAAAAAAAAGAAAATCAGCTTTTTTTAAAAAAAAAAAAAAAAAAAAAGAAATAGCTTTTTGATAAAAAAAGAAGAAAAAAAGCTTTTTATAAGGGAAAAAATAATTTGTAGAAAAAATCTATGAAAAATGCTAGATCTTTCATTATCTTTTTCTATTATAAATTTATATTTATTTTTAATTTCATTTTTATTTTTGTTTTGAATTTATTTTAATTTTCAATTTTTTTTTTATTTCATTTTTAATTTTTTACTTTTTTTTTTTTTGTTTTATTTGTATTATATCAAAATTCAAGATCTATCTATAAGTAAATTTTTTATTTTTCCCCTTTTAATATATTTACTTATTTTTCTATGTAAAATAGTTTTTTTTGAATTTAATTTTTTTTTTAATTCTACCTATTTCGTCTTTATTTCTACATATAATATACTTTAATATATATCAGTAAAAATGAAAAAAATTTTTATTATTTTTGTATCTCTCTTTTGCGCATTTATCTATGGTAAAGGAGTAAGAAATATTTCAAGAAAAAGTTCTGTTGCGCATCCTCATAACCAACATAAAGTAAAAAATGTTTCAGCTTTAGAAATTTTTTCACGAGAAAAAACAGAAAAGGATTGTATAAAGTGTCTACCAGAAAACTTTTGTGAATGTGAATGTAACTGCAAAAATAAAACAGGTTTTTCAATGAAATACAGAAATGCTAGCTTGGGATCTAATAGTAAGAGAAAAAGCATGAATGTAAATAAAAAAATTTCTCGTTCAAGAAAATGCAACGATTTACCAATTGAAGATAATTCAGGTTCTGGAGCAGGAACAGAAGGTTCCGGAACCGAAGGTTCGGGAACAGAGGGTTCAGAAACAGAGGGTTCAGGAACAGAAGGTTCAGAAACAGAGGGTTCAGAAACAGAGGGTTCAGGAACAGAAGGTTCAGGAACAGAAGGTTCGGGAACTGAAGGTTCTGGAACAGAAGGTTCAGAAAATGGTGCAACAGAATGTTATTCTTCATGTCATACTGAAACAGGGGTACAAACCGAGGAATGTAATTGTTCTTGCTCTTGTTAATTTAAATATATGATAAAAATAAAACATACTTAGAAGAAATGAAGGTGAATATTTTTTAAATATTTTATAATAACACATTATTATTGAAATCTATTATCAACTTTTTAATACATAAATTTTTGTTTAATTTTTTTGTGTTTTTTTCTTTTTTTTTTTTTTAACTATATTGGCTTTAATTTATTAAGTATTTTCATATAAATAATTTTTATTTGTGAGTATATGGATTTTACTACGTTGGAGCAATATTTTTTTTATACAGTAATATCATAATTTAAAAAAATAGAAATAAACATCTAATAAAAAATTATTGGAAAAACTTAAATTATATAATGAAATTGTGTTATTCATAATAGAAAAAAATTAATACGGTTTGTAAAATTAAATAAGAAGAAACTGTTTTCTTTTAAAATTTTTTCTTATTTGTAAATAAATGTGCACATAAAATCGATGAAAAATTTATTTTAATATAATTTATGTTTAAAAAAAAAAAAAATTTTTAAATTTGTATGTTTTAAAAATTATAGATATTAAAATGATATTAAAATTAATAATTCACCAAAAGAATATAAAATGAATTTATCATAAATAGTACATAAATATTTGTTATTACAATATATAATAACGAATATTATTGAAAATTAGATTTTGTAAGTAAATTTGTAATGATTTTATTTTAAAGTTTTATGAATTGAAATGAAAAAAAAGAAGATTTTTTATTTCTTTTTTTTATGTATTTTAAAAAAGTATCATTAATTTTAAGTAAAATAGTGAATTAGATGAAATATGAGAAAATACAATTATAAAGGTTATGAAGACTTGATATAAAAAAATATTGAATATATTGGATATTAACTAGTTAAAAAGAGAAATGAAAAACTTCTTTTTTTTTTTTTTTTTTTTTTTTAAAAAAATAAAATAATTTTTAATTCTGTCATCAAATTTGTATTTAATGAAATATATATTTTTTTACTTATATGTTGATCTATTAAAATAGTAATGTTTTAAAATTGTCATTTAAAAAATATATATATATATATATATATAATAATATATTTTTTATTAGTAAAATATGCCTCCTGTAATTTATAAAAGTCCTTTGCCTGTTCGATTAAAAGCCCCAAAAGGGAGAATAATTCCGTTAAATGCTCCTGATATAAAAATTGGAAAATCGTTAATTAGTGCTTGTCCTAAAAGAATAAAAGGAGAGAAATTAGCAGAAATGAGGCAAATTATACGTAAGTATTTAGGAAAAAAAAAAGAATACTTTGTTGACGTTCATGCTACTTATAGTGTAACAAAAAAACCAGATGGAACAAAAATGGGGCAAGGAAAAGGAGTAATTGATCATTTTGTTGCAAGAGTGCCTTCTGGGAAAACTATTTTTCATATTCCTACTATTAGTCCATTTAATGCATTAGGTTTTGATGATCCTGTTTATAAAGTTTTAAAAAAAGCAGCAGCTAAAGTTGCAATTCCTTGTGTATTTAGAACACAAAATAATTTATTTCGAGTACATAATATAAAGTATATTTCCCAAAAAAAGATTCGCAGTGATCAATTAAAACAATTCAAAGAATATAAGTCAAAGTTATTTAAAAATGATAGTGAAAATAATGTATAACATATATTAATAATATAAGTAAATATCTTATTAGCAATAAAATAAAAGGTTATTATATTACTAATTAAATAAATTATTTAGATATTTTGTAAGAAATTAAAAAAGTAACCAAGAAGTATGAAGAAATATAGAAAAAAAAAAAAAAAAAAAAAAAAAAAAAAAAAAAAAAGAATAAAAAAAAAGTAATATAGTCTAATAGTTTGTTTTAAAATTTTGAACGGATTTAATTAATATATAATGGAATTTAAAATAAATATTTTATAAAATTGCAGATGAAAAATATTGAAATAATACCAATGTTAATAAGGAACCCAAAATAGTCATTAAAGCTTATTGTATGTGATAAATAAATTAACAATGTAATAACCACATTAATTAGATAATTAATCTCTTTTTATAAATATACATTAAAGATAATTTATAAAAAGGATGTTGAATTAAAAATATTTAGAAAAGTATACTAATGCTTTTTTTTTTTTTTTTTTTTTTTTTATATAGTAAAAGAATTTTTATTTAATTTATTCAGATAATATATTAATAATAAATAATTTTAAAGTAAAATAAAATTAAATTGTACCATTTAGAGTTGATAAAAATAACTACAGAAGATAGAAGAATTTGGTTTTTATTTAATTTTCCTTTTTGTATTCATGTATTTTTTTTAAATATAAGTGTCATTCTTTTAAAAAAATAATAAAAATTTTAGTAATCTGATTAGAACATAATAATATTTAAAAAAAAAAAAATTTTTTTATATATATTATTATTTATAGATAATATAACATTTTTAAAAATATGAATTGGGAAAGAATACATATTATTGCAATAAATATCATGTAGGAAAATTCTTTTTCTAAGCAATGTCAAAAAATTTTATTTATTTGGTCTAATTTTTTTTAATAATTTTCTTTAAAAATATATATAAAAGAACACAAATAGAAGTTCCTTTTGTTTAGTAAAACATTAACATATGGAATAATAGTATATGCATATGTAATGAATTTTTTTTTTTTTTTAATTTTTTTTACATTATCTTCATAGTTATTTGAGATCCTAAATAAATTCATAGTTTATTTTTTTTTAATACATATATAAAGATTTATTTTTTTTTCATTTTAAATATATATTTTATATATCCTTTTTTGTTATTCATTTATTTTACAAATATATATTTTTTAATTATTTGGAAAAAAACATTATTTTTATTTATATGAAACTTTAAAAAATTAAAAAAAAGTATAAACTCCTAAAAAAGGTATGTTACTATATCTAAAATAATATAATGATATTTTCTTAAAAAAATTCTAATAAATGCAACTTATTTTTATTGGGTAAAAAATTTATGGTTATAAGCATAAATGTTACATACAAATAAATTCATATTCAATATATATTTATAAACAAGAAAAAATTATATTATAAATATTTTAACTTTAAAATAATACAGAGTTATAAAGAAATCAGTTTTCATTTCTTTATGAAAAATAAAAAGAATTAAATGTTTATAATCATTATATATTTTAAACAATTAAAATGTATATAAAGAAATAAAAAAAAAAAAAAAAAACAATAAATAATGACATTCTTAATTTTATTATTAAAAATATTTTTATAATTAAAAAAAAAAAAAATAAAATAAAAATAAAATAAAATGAACAATACAGAATAATAAAAATTATAAAAAAAATTTGCGGATATTTTAATACACTTTTAAAATTTTTTTGTTTTTTATATGAATTAATCTGTGATTCATTTAAAATTTAGATGTTATTTTTATTTTAAAATATTAAAGTATAATTTCTTTTTTTTTTTAATAATTTCTTAAGTATTCAAACAATATTTTATAGAGAAAAAAATTTAAAAGAATAGTCATATAATAATGATATTTTTTCATAATAATTCATCAAAACATCATTGTAATTAAAAATAGAAAAATGAATATAAAAAAAAAAAAGTCAAACATTTATAATAATAAATTAAATGAAAGTAATGAAGATAAGCTAAATAACACAAAATTAGTAAATCTGAAAAAAAAAAAACAGATAAAATATGGTGGCTTAGAAAAAAACAGTTCAAAATGCGTTACTGTAGAAAAAAATAAAGGAGAAAAAAGAACAGAGCATAAAAAAAAAAAAATTAGTATTAAGAATAAGGAAATAAGTAAAAAAAAAAAAAAAAAATTTAAAAATGAAAACACAGTAACAAAACAAGCAGAAAAAGACTGGAACTGTGGTAGTGTGATAGAAGATAATAACCATAAAGAGAAAAATGCAATTGAAATTAAAAATTATTATAATAGTGATAAAAATAAAGAAGTAAATGTGAATACTAAAAAAAATAAATATGATATAAAGAAAAATGAAAAGAAAAACAAAGATAGAAAAAAAACTCACTCAATGAATGATGTAGATGAAGAAAAAAAAACCATGAAAAATAAAATAAATAAAAACAAGGAAACGAATGATGAAAACTTTAAATTCTTAAAAAAAAAAAAAGTTGAAGGAATGTCTATTACAAAAGATCTTCATAAAGGAAAACATTTAAGTTTATATGCAGAAATAACAAAAAAAAACGATCAGGAAAAGAGGCAGAAAATTAATCCAACTAATAATAATAATAAATCTTCTAAAAAATTAAAGAATAATGAAGAAACATATAAAAAATGTAATGATACATTTGATAATAATTTATATGATAAAGAAATTAAAGATAAAAAAAATAATAATAGTTATAATAATATTATTATAAATAATAATAATAATAATAATAATAATAATAATAATAATAATAATGTTAATCCTTTTGACTATGAGAAATTATTAGTATCAAAAAAAAATAATAGTGCTATTTGGATAAGTTATATAGCATACTATTTACAAAAAAATAATTTAGATGATGCAAGAAAAATAGCTGAAAGAGCTTTAAAAACTATAGACATACAAGAAGTTGAAGAAAAATTAAATATTTATTTATGTTATTTAAATATGGAATGTGTTTATGGAGATAATTTATATGATGTATTTAAAAGAGCATTATTATGTAATAATGAAAAATCTATTTATTTACACATGATCAACATCTTAAAAGTAAATAATAAATTAATTCAATTAAAAGAAATTTGTGAGGAAGCTATCAAAAAATTTAAATATTCTAAGAAAATATGGTCATGTTATTTAGAAATTTTACATAATACATTTAAGGATGAAGAATATGCTCATGCTATTCTATTAAAATCATTGTACTCTTTGGAAAAAAGAAAACATTTAAGTATGATTATAAGTGCTGCACGTTTTGAATATAAATATTCTAATAAAGAAAGAGGAAAAACATACTTTGAAAAATTAATTCAGGAATACCCAAAAAGATCAGATATTTGGTTTACATATTTAGATATTCATATTAATTCATTAACAAGAAATGAAAAAAAAGAAAAAATTAAATTAAATAAGAATGACACAGAATTTATTAGAAATATATTTGAACGATTTATCTCAATTAAATATAAGCCAAGAATCATGAAAATGATTTTTACAAAATGGCTTCTATTTGAAAAAAATCATGGAAATTTGTATAGTCAAAAACTAGTGCAACAAAAAGCATATGAATACGTAGAAAGCTTAAATGAAATTAGTTGAAAATATACACATATAAATTTATATTACTATTATTGTTATTTGATTCATTTTTGTTTTCTTTTTTTTTTTTTTTAAAATAATTTAATAAATTTATTTTTAATATGCATTTTTTTAGAAATATTACTTTTATATATATATATATAATTAAACTTTAACTTTTAAAAATTAGATATTTTTATTAACTAAAATATTCCTTTTATTAAAATTTTTTTAAAAAAAAAAATTATAATTATGATTTTTGTAAAAATTTTCTATATCCACACCAATCTTGAGGAGTAGTGAAATTTGTCAAATTCATAAAATTCAACAATTGAGTTGCAATGTTATCTTCAAAAAAATAATTTTTTTTTAAATATTCTAAATTTTTTCTTGATTCATTCCAATTACCATTTAAATACAATTCTAATGCATCTTCAAATACATTTAAATATTCATTAGGAAAATCTACTTTTATTGATTTTATATCTTTATTTTTTATATATTCTTCGTAAATCTAAAAATGTTTAAATATTTATAAAAAAATAAAAGAATTACTAAATCATATATATTACATTTAGAATATTATAGAGATATATAAAATTTTATTTTAAAGAAAAAAAAGTTTTCTTATTGGAATTACATTATAATTTAGATTTAATATTTCCTTTTTTCTTATTCTCCTATCTGTTTTTTTTTTAATATCATCTAGTATCTAAAATAATTTTATTTTAATTATATTTATATTTTTGTTTTATACAAAAAAAAAAATGTATTTATAAAATTTAATTACCTTTTGTATTTTTACTTTGAAATTTAATTCTTCATTAAACTTATACACATCTGTTTTTTTCTTTATCTATAATATAGTATATAATATTTATTTATTTTTTTTTTTATTAGTTTTTATTTTATATATTTTATATATTTTATATGTGTGTTTTATTTTAACTTTATTTAAGAATAAATCAAATGTAAATAAATTTAAAGGATTTTTGCATCCTTTTAGTTTAGCTCTATCTATTTTTCTCAATAATTTCTTTATTTTACAGAAAAAAAAAATTATATATGTAAATATATATATATATATATATATATATATAAATTCATATTAAATTTTATTGAATAGAAGAATTGTTAACTTTAAAATTGTCTGACATATTATCATAAAAATCTCCTGATATAATAATATGACTTTTGTATATTTTTGAAATATCTTGTAATCTACTAGCTATATTTACATTTTCTGATAAATATGTTAAATCAATTTTATAACTACTTCCAATTGCTCCTTCAATAGCCCATCCAAAATGTAAACCAAAACTTAACTCTAAAATATTTTTATTAACTAGATTATCAATTTTTTCGTTTTTTAAAAATAGATTTATTTTTTCTGACTTGGTTATAAAAAAAAAAAAAAAAATGAATAAAAAGTATGTATGTTCATATATATTATAATTTTTAATAAAATAAATGAAGTATTGTTTACCTGCTGAAGTTTAATTAATGTTTGTATTGTAGACAAAAAAGCTAAATCACATATTCTTTTTACATCTTCCTTTTCTGAAAAATCTTTATTTTCTATTTTACTGTTTTTTGAGTTATAACATTTTTTTTCCTCATATGTATATTTGTTTTTTTTACATTTCCATACTAGTAAAAATGCATCTCCTATATTTTTATTAATTGAACCACCATAAAAATCACAACACTCATGAATAATTTCAGCAATTAAATTAATAAATATCATTATCTATGCAAATAATAAATGTTAAATATAAAATAAATAATTTAAAAATGAAAAAAAAAATGGTTCTCATATCTATAAAAAAAAAAAAAAAATAAATATATATTTACCTTTTCTTTTAATATTTCTGTGATTTCAGTAAAGTTTCTTATATCGCAAAATGCAAAAACTGAATAGACTATTTCTCCATTTACTAATAGGTTAATATTTTCTTGTTCATTGATATTTTTAGAAATAATTTTAGCTCCTGCTTCTCCAAAACCTTAATATTTTTTCAAAAAAAAAAAAAAAATGAAAATAATTATTCTAATAAGAGGTATACATATTTTTTTTTTTCTAAAAGCGTCAAGTTGTAACTAAAAATAATGAATGAAAAAATTTTAAAATGAATTAAACAAAAAATGAATATATATATAATTTTAAATGTTTATACCTAATAACATTAATGTACCTAATTTCATTAAATTTTCTTCCATTTTCAATATTTCATAATTCTCTTTTATACTTTTTCTAAAATTATTTTAAAAAAAAAAATAAAATAAAATAATAATAAGATGTACATATATATAAAATCATATGAATACATTATTGTCTTTTTATCTTCTCTAATTTAAAATAATTTAAATAAATGAAATATAAATACCTTATTTTTTATTTATGTAAACAAAGAAATATGATTTTTTTTTTTTTTTTTATGTTTACCTTTTTAATTTTGAGTTACTTAAAATATGTTTCAACTCATGATTTAACAGTTCTTCTTGCATTTCAAGTGCTAATATTGGGTTAGCTCTACAAAAAAAAAAAAAAAAAAAAAATTGAGTAGACTAAGAGATATTAAAAAAAGGAACATATAGATACATGAAATTTTAGATTTAATAATATTCAAAAATACAATATATCTCTTTTATATATATACAACATACTTCATAAGTTTTAATTTTTTTAAAATGCTTTCAATAGGAAATAATAAAATATTCAATTCACATGTAAAGTAAAATAGTATAACAAGTGAAAACTGAATAATGCGAAAATTTTAGAAGAAAAAAAAATAAAATAAAATTTATCTTATTTTATTTACTTTTTTAATTTTTTTTATATTATACTATTATAACAAATATTTTAAGAATTATTATTTTTTTTATCTTATTTTCTATAATTTTTTTAATATTTATATAAAATGTATAGTCCTTAGATTTATAGATTTTAACTTCATAATATCTTAGTTCATCTTTTTTAAAAAAAAAAAAATAGATAAAATAAGTTGCAAACTTTTTAATATTATTAAAAAAAAATTCATTTTTCTTATTTTTTTTTTATTACTTATATCTTTAATTGTATTATCCAAGATAATTTCTACTTCAACATTTTTGTCATGATTTGTAGAATTCATATTTAAAAACTTAATTAGATCATTCTATACATATGAATACATTTTAATTATTCTATTACTTTTTTTTTTTTTTTTTTTTTAAATAAATATGTTTTTTTTTTTTTTTTTTTTTTTTTATTTAATATTATTACATAAGACAAATTTGTAAAATCCCATAATATAAAATTTTTTTCCTTCAAATTAATTTCTTTTTTATTAATAAAATTTTTTAATTTTTTTTTTGATTTAAAACTTATTAAATATTCAACATCTCTTTTTTTTTTTTGAATTTCCTATAATAATATATATATATATATGTATATATGTATATATATATATATGTTAGACTTAATATATTAAATTTTTCTTTATACACTATAAAAATATAGAGCTTTTAAAAATTCATTTTCATAATAATCATCGTAAATAATTCTGAAAAGGTGTATTCATATAAAAATGATATAAATATATATATATATATATATATATATATATATATTTAGTCTGTTAATTTATTTTCTTTAACAGATCTAAGTTATAAATAAAATAGCTCATTGAATTTTTTTTTTCCTTTGAGATTGAAATCTGTTACAAAATTAAAATTAAAATTATATAAATATAAATATAAATATTTATAAAAAAAAAAAAAAAAAAAAAAAAAAAAAAAAAAAA